GCCCGCGCCCCGGAACCCCAGCTATCTGGTCCTGCCGCACTTGCTTTTCCTGGGACGGTTATTTTTCCTGCTCGCTGTGGCATGCGTGGCTCGCCGACAGAGGGAGAAGGGCGGCCAACTGGGAGATGTGCTTTCAGCATCACCTTGGCTATCATTTCAGTGACACTGAATGTTTTGATTTTTTTTTCAGTTCCGGAATTAAACCAAGATTTAAAGTATTTGCAGTTTTCACATGTAATAAGATTATTAATGTTGGTCCCAAATTGGTCCAACATGCAATCCTCAGCAGGTAAGTGAGCAGAGACTAGAAAAAATAATTAAAAAAAAAAAAAGTCACCTGAATCCAGGCAGCTGGAGTAAGCATAATTTTTCCAGTCATAGCCTCATCTCTTCTTGTGGTATTACTCTCTCAAAACAGCTTTAAATAAAGCTGCTGTGATGGCTTCTCTCTAAGAAGGTATGCCAACAGACAGAGGTACACAGGACTGCAAAAGACTGCTCCCACCCAGTCCCCTTGGCAATCCCATCATGTAACCGTCTCCTTGGCCAACCAAGTTCTGACTTACACATGTTTAGAAATTTTCTGGGCTTTCCATCAGGAAGAGCTATCAGATCTGTGCTAACCCACTGGAACAGAAACCTTATTTCCAAAATGAATGCATTTCTACTCTTGCGAAGTTCGTGCATTAGTTTCAGCAGTTGTCTCGTTGATGTGTCTACCACTCTGATGTACTTGCAGCATGCGTGTGCTCTGCCTTCATTTACCAAACCAAGTAAGTCTCCTCTTGAAACACAAGCTGAACACAATTACCTGTTCACTTTGGCAACCCTTTTTTTTTCTCCCTTCTTCTAATATTAAAACATCTTTCTTGAGCACGGTTGTAGAAATGCACGCAAAATACTCCAGCTGCTTTCTCACCAGGGCCTCCTCTCTGCTGGTAACACCTCTACAACCTGGCCTTAGGATTTCATTTACATTCGTTTCCATGGCTATATCACACAGACAGATCAATCACATAGGATAACCTTGGTGGCTGCAATGACCAGAACTGGGTCCTGAAGACATCTTGCTTCCTTCAGGCTCTTCCCACTACACACAAAAAACAAACAACTGCCAGATGCGCTCTTCGCCCCTTGCTGCCAAAGCCAAAGGTGGCACCTGGCTGTGCCTCACTCCAGCAGCCAGCCCTTCCCATCACCACCAGGAAAAGGTGATGTGCCAAATGAAAGTTCAGCCTGATCTGATTTCTGCTGACATGTCCAAATCTTTCTTCTCCTCCACTGCTGAGCTCCAAGCTTCTAGCAGAAATTCTTGTTGTAGTCTCCAAGTACACAGCCTGGTGCTCTGCACCGCTGAACATTATCCCATTTCCATGACTCCACCACAGACTCATCCAATTCTTCCTGCACAACAGCCTCATTCAGATCTTCCGGTGATGGTGCTTCCCAACTCGGTGTCATCAGCAAATTTAATTAGCACATGCCTCTTTTTTGTGCCAAGGCCATTAATTTATAATGGGCGGGACTCTACAGAGGGATCTGAACAGGCTGGATCGATGGGCCGAGGCCAATTGTATGAGGTTCAACGAGGCTAAGTTCTGGGTCCTGCACTTGGGTCACAACAACCCCATGCAGCGCTACAGGCTTGGGGAAGAGTGGCTGGAAAGCTGCTTGTTG